GAATTACCCTTGAGATTTTATCTTTTGAATTCGACTTGTAACTTTAATAAACCCTTTCGAGACTCAATTCGACGGAATGAATTGACTTGTAACTTTATTAAGACTCGGATTCTGGAATCAGATATTGCCGTTCACGATAGTGACTTGCGGGAATTGTGGTAGTGAGTGCCACCTACGCTCGGTTATCTACCCTTGTTAATACATCACGTGGACTTAAAGTTATCATCGATATCACTTGATCATCGTCCGCTTTTACCTCATCATCCTTATTGAGATATCCCTAACAGCATCACCTGTAGTTGCTTTATCTCATTATCACCCCTCTTAATATTAAAGCCTTCGTTCCATAGTGTCATATTGTAATAATAGCCCTCCGACAGTTATAAAGACTCCCTTAGCTTCTCAAAGTTTATTTTTATCTTCCCATACACCGTTGGAGTTAAATTGTCCTTCTATTCATAAGCTCTCCCATCAACGGTTACACTAGATGTGGCTCCAAATAGAGGTGCAGACAAATTTGGTAATTAAGTTACGATGTTTATTATGCAAATATCTTTGCACGAAGATAATTTATGCTAATTAAAATGTAACATATGTCAAATTAATTTAATACAAATATTGAAAATCCGCATTTCTTTATTGATTTTTTATTTTCTTTACTTCAATCTTAAAAAAAATTGTTGACATCTATCTGAATAACTGAAAAAAGACATGTATATGATCGTTGTTTAGCTGTTTTACGAAACCCTAATATAAAAACCCACTATATTCTAAAAGGGGACGTCTATTTCCACTACTGTAAATCATGGTGAAAATAGTAAATTTCAATGGTGAAAATGGGCGTTCCCATTAATAAAATAAATAAATAAACAAATAGGCAATACGTACAGAGTTTACTTCTGATTGGTTCTACTAATTATTCACATATCGGAGTATCTATGTTATTAACCAAAGTTTATGGTACTCCGATAGGGGAAATTAGTAAACCCCGCAATACAGTACTTAGGCCAGACCAAGTTGATTCTCTGTTTTACATTACCCCCTTCTCCCCTCCGGAGGGGGGAGGGGTGGTTTACATAGTAAAATTTAAAAAATTTTTTTTTCAAAAAAAAATTTTTCCGAATTGTTCCGTGACTATATAAAAATTTTCCGAGATAGCCCGAAGTCATATATATATTTATTTAAATTTTTTTACTATGAGGGAGAGGGGGGACTCTGGGGAGGGGGAACTCTGGGGGGTAGTGTAAAACAGAGAATCAACTTGGTCTGGCCTTATCGTTAAAATTATATTCTTAGAATATGACGTACTTTATTTTACGATTTTAGAACTGCGTACAATAATTAACTAACGGAAATTTGAAAAAAAGTGAAAATTAAAATCGGTGACACCATGTTCTTATGATACTATCTAGTTAGTGGTCAAAACTTATTAGCTAAAGCTGGACGGAACCCCCACATTCATTTGGAGTCCAAACTATATGATAATTAACATTAGCATTTATCCTAGATACCAGGAATAGTAAAATCATTTGTTTTCATATTACGTTTTAGAAATACCATTCTTCTGAAACAAGCGCTCACTTGTGTACTTGTTGCAGGAATTGCAACTAATTTGGATGTCGATGAAGTAACTTTTTTTTAGATGAATAGTGTTGCTCCTTAAATTCTGCATACTTAGCACGTAAAGTTTCTTCAACTTGTCTTTGCTCATCAATCGATAAAAAATGTAATCTTTTGCATCTTGGGCCCAATTAAGTTTTTTTAATAATGTTAATTTGAAAAAATTTATCAAATAAAAATTTATGAAACTGTTATTTATTAATAAATCAAAAATTTATCACTATCAAAACTTAAATTTTAATTTGACTGATGCTCGATGATTTACTGAGTTTAAAACTCAATTTATTTCGATGTTCGAAATTTTCGATCGATCCTCGAATAATTATTCACCGATTCCACTCTCTAGTTAAACTATGTGATGCTAATCAACACCTAGTTTAGGCTGTTCTAAATAGTTTGGACGGCAACCATAGCCCATATGTACAATTTCTAGTTATGTGTTAATAGGGAAAGTGTCATATTAACAATACAGTGTAAATTGAAGAAACTAAATAGTGTACTTGCTTAGTTACAAAAGACGACAGTCAACTAACTTAAAGAACGTTATGTTATATACTGCTAAGTGATATATACAAAAGTTAAAGACCGATACAGTATAGGTTGATAATAATTGACTGAATGATAACGACAATTTGGAATTTTTTGTTTTTGTCACTTTATCTTACTCTCCCTGGAACTACTTGGAATTTTTTCTTGTCTATTGTCCGGATCTAAGTTTCTGGATTTATAACAACACTCATTATTCACCGTGAATTTTTATTTTACAACTTAAAAAGAAAGCATATCTAATCACTTAATACATGCATAAAATTGATGGATTATTTACCATTTATACTGCTATTACTAAAAGCAATAACACAAATGAGTTTATCCTTTTGTTTTTATACAAGCATTATATACAGGTGCACCCCCTCGGGACCATAGGAAAAAAAATGAAAAGAATGCACTTAAGGAAGGTGTGCATTTATAGAGAGCAAATTATATAGGGCTATTATAAACTGGGGCCAGACTATACTGTGCATTTAGAGAGAATTTACTTAATCCATGCACTTCCCTAAGTGCAAATTCTCTCTAAATGCACGGTATAGTCTGGTCCCAGCTTATAATAGCCCTATATAATTTGCTCTCTATAAATGCACACTCTCCTTAAGTGCATTCTTTTCATTTTTTTTCCTATGGTCTCGAGGGGTGCACTTAGGGAGGTCTGACTGTATATCGATATTGAGTAATTACTGGTATAGTTTTGATCGGAAATTTGCACTCTCGTCTTATCTTGCACCCCAGCCGAAGTCGACCATATAAACCTTTTAATTTTAGTAATATCTTTTTTTAGTTGTCACCTAGTTAAAGCTAATTACTAAAAATGATTTTTTTTTGATTTTTAAATTCTTTTTATAAAGAAACGTTCTAGAAAGTTAGTCCAAAAATTTTTGATATAAATGTATATTTTACATATAAAAATTTTATAGGTAACTTTTCGATTAGAATGTTTTCGTTTTAAAAATCCAAACAAAAATCATTTTAGAAAGCGTTACTATTAGCTTTAACTAAATAGGTTACAACTAAAGAAAGATTATTAATAAAATTGGAAACTTCTATATAGAGCATAAATTTCGTTTTTAACATACTTTATTAATGATCGTTCCGGTAATTATTAAGGGTGTAAAATACATAAACAGTAAGTTTGAATATTTAATTTGATTAACGTCAATCTATTTACTAGCGTTAAACGAGCATAAATTGCTCGAAAAAAGGGTATACATATGTACATATAAAAATTCTTTTAATAGGTATTTTAAATGGAAACCAATATTAAACTTGGGTTTCACCAGAAGTTTCATCTTCCAAAAATCGAACTTGGTTTTCTTCCAAAGATTTATCTTGATTTTCCCCAAAAGCACCATTTTCTAATGACGTTTCCCCTAAAACTCCATACTGGCTTTCTTCCGAAAACACATATTGATCCTCTTCTCTCCAGGTTTCAGGATCAACTTCCCATAAATGATTAAAGACTAACGAATCTAAATCTAGACCTGTACGTTTTTTGTTAAGCATAAGCATAATTACTCCTGGAAAAAATAAAAGTTGTAGCACAATGGTATAAAAACTCACCTTGCAATTCATCTAAACGAAACTCAACATTTTCATAATGAATATTTTCGTTTACCCAGGTATCATTCAATATATATGATTCAGAGTTTTCTTCATGAGTTAAAATAGGATTCTGAACTAATTGCGAACATTCATGACTTATTTCTGAAAGTGAAATAGATGTCTCTAGATTGCTCTCATCAATTTGAGTGGTAATTTGAGTGGTAGATTCTACCACATTTGTCGTTGAATGACTTGAAGAATTATAAAACGTTAACTTCAATTCGTTTGGCATTGCACGATATAGAACAGAGGCTAATTTGGAAAATTTTGATTGTATTTGATTCTTGTATAGTATACAGCCAGTATCGCTACAGTTCCATGACTTTGTTCGAGATTTTCGTAATACATAACGGAAATTAAAGAATTTGTTGTTTCGTTGGCACCGCTTAAAAACATCTGGCAGGATATTTGTATGAAGTGGAAGAGAATGTGATGTGAAGTCACATTCAAACGAAATAAAGATACGATTGCCTGGAGGTAATTCACGAGAATATATTATTTCCTTAGGTTCAGACATGATGCAAATCAATAGATGCAAAAGTAAATTTAAAGCATTCGATAGTTGTGAACAATTTATTATAGTCCTTTTTATGGGTTTTTCCGTTTTTTCCGAATATCATCGGATGGCATTATTTTGTTAATTTTTTTGCGCGGCCATACTTACGGTATTTATGCTGGTCTGATGAAACACAAATTGCAATAGTATTTCTGATAAGTTTTTATAAATTTTATTGACAATAGCCTTAATTACTTATTAGGATTTGAGTAACATCCTAATTGCAATAGGAATCCCATTATGATTTACTACTGCTAATTGCATCACGTAATAATAATATTTAAAGTCGGGGAGTTTCTCCCATACCCACCGGCACAATTTGAATTATGATCGATGAATTTTGTTAGGTTATATCCTGAGAGTTGTCGCACTAAAATATAAAAATTAATAATAGTAGCGCAACGAACATGGCAATAACTAAAAAGACAGTCGTAATTAAAGATATAGTATTTTCTCTCGAATCACCTCCGGGCAATCGATTCATAATAACCTTTCAATGCCCGTCTATTTCTCATTTTATTTCTGTACCTATTATTAACACTTTACACAAAGATGTTTGTGATCAAAAGCCTTGTTTCTTACTTTTCAAGACTATGCTCCGACGTTCATTAAGAACAAAATCGAAGTGTGACGATGAATCTTGCTTTTTGCATAAAACTAGCTATCGTAGGGTAACTTGTTTTGCAGAACATTTATGGAAAGCTATGACAGCAGAAGTTAAATCATATTTTGCCGTTCAACATTATATGAAGGGTATGTTATATAATTATATGTGTTTACTCATTATTTATTCATCTGAAGTTACAACTAGATGAATATATCATTGCTTACTTGAATTTTGCACCTTTAAAAATAATTCCTTTCGAAATTGATACGATAATCAGAAGTAAAATACTCCTCTTTCAAAATTTCTGAAGTTTTCGGAGATAGAGACCAAATTATGTAGCTTATAACCGATCCAGGTTCAGTAAATTTTTGATCAGTATCCGTGATCCAGATTTTATAACTTTTTGTAATCAGATTTTTCCTTTTTTTTTTATGTATTCAGATTTTGGTAATTTGCTTGTCATATTCAGACTTCGCCAACTTGCTTGTCATATTTAGATTTTTACCAAATTTTTTTCATGTATTCAGATTTTGGTAATTTACTTGTCATGTTCAATTTTTTTTTTCATATATTCAGATTTTGCCAATTTTTTTTTTGTGAATTCAGATTTTGCCAATTTTTATTCAACTATTCAGATTTTGCCAATTTTTTTCAAGTACTCAGATTTTTCCAATTTTTTTTCGTGAATTCAGATTTTGCCAATTTTTTTTTCGGAATTCAGATTTTGCCAATTTTTTATAAGTTCGGATTTTGCCAAATTTTTTTTTATGAATTCAGATTTTGCCAATTTTTTTTCAAGTATTCAGATTTTCCAACTTTTTTCAGATTATGTCAATTTGCTTGTCATATTTACGTTTTGCAAATTTGTTTTTCATTATTACCTCAATTTTGTTATACCTTCTGTATAATTAGCATAATTTTTTCAATTATATCAAAATTTCACCATCCTACTGAAGGCAAAATCCTAGCCCTGTTCGTTATGTATGCCTTTTTTTATCTATTAGCGGTTAGAATCTTAATCAAAAATTAAAACATCTATTAAAAAAAAATTTGCTTAATCTTCATCAATCCACGTAATTCATCAATCCACGTAATGTTATTTATAAATATTTAAACAAAGTTTTTAAGTACAGGTTACCCGTTAATATCAACCACTTTAATTTCAACCTAAGCCACAAAACAAATTTTTATAAATTTTTATATATCAAAATTCCCTCATATATATCAACTTTAATATGATTTCTCATTAATATCACTATCAAAATGATTTAAAATCAATTCAAATAGGTTGATATTAATGAGGGTAACTTGTATAATAAATAACAGTCTACATAGCCTTCTAACTCAAACTTACCATTACACAAATTAAATAATTAAATAATCACTTGTATACTTGACTAGCGTTGCCAACAAAATTGCGTATGATTACACATACTATATCTTATATGTATTGTACGTGAATTAAAAAAAAATTACTATGTGCTGAGTAGTTATTTCCTTGTGACAGTTAAGATTATGTAATTTTGTTGGCAACGCTATACTCGACAGAGAATTATAATAAAGCCAAATTTATGATTTATTATGTATTATCTGATATATTGATATAACGGAGCAAATATGGCCTCTGTTATATCGAGAACCATTGTGTAGTATAGTATATAAGTCTTTTAATAAAAGTATTTGCAAACTGCCCAAGAGAAAAAAAAAAATTATACATATAGCATTATTTTATTTCTGATTTTTATCAATAAAAAAATTATACGTATGCATAGCTAGTTATCGATCATTCTAAATGTTACTAATCTCGCTACCACTTAGTATTAAGTATATTTTAGATTTTAGATTACACGATCTTTGAAATTTTTTTAGATCTGTAACGCTAAAATAATCAAGAATGGATGAACTCCAGTTGTGTATAAAATACTAGGATGTCAAATGCAAGTCTAATTATAAACATAGTGCAGGTGATATAGTGATGATCATTAGTCAGGTTTTTTTATAATTAAAATTTTTAAGATCTGCACGCAATAGTAAAAACTATAGAAAAATCGGCATCTTTCGTTTTTAATTCCTCCCGTTATATCTAATATTTTTGAATTTTAATAAACGAATACACTTTATTGAAAGCACTTTTACACGATGACAATGCTAGAATTTTAATTATTAACACGACTAGCAGGTTACTGCCACCGCAGTATGTGGGCTATTACGTAATAAATGCGACGGTCAAAATTTCATATGATATAGATTACTTAAATTACACAAAAAAGATAATGATAACGATAAATCTTTAAAAAAAATAAAAATTGTAAAGACTATGAAGTTAACTAATTTTTTTTTTTTAGTCGATAACACCTTGTTTGAACCAAATTTTTAAGCATAATAAAACTCTAGTCATTTCTTTAGGCATTTCAGGATTACACTTAATGAACTTGGTAATATCTGTAGCAGGAAAAGCATGCTTATAAGAAATGCTTGTAACTTGTAAGGGTAAATAGTCTGCTGCTATATGAGCTATTGTTGGAAAATGGTGAAAATTTGTTTTCCACCACAATAGCGGATCTACACCCAGCTTATAAGGTAAAGAAATATAAGACTCTAATTCATCTGTTTCTGTTTTGAGTTTGCTACTTTTACTTACACTTGATCGCATGAGTTTTCTAAAAATTTCTAAAAGATCTTTAGGTTTGATAGTTGTCTTTGTTTTATATAACTTATAAGAGGTTTTTAATGCATTAATAGCTCTATTACGGTCAATTACATCAAATGTTTCAAACTTCATTGATGGGTCAAGGATGGTAGAAAAGATAGAAGATTTCGAAAGGTGATTCTAATATTCTTTTAGTTTATCTTTCATTTCTTTGGCTGCATCACAGTGTGTATCAATAAAAAAATATTGATTAAGGTGCATTGAAAGTCCTTGGACAATTAACCGCAAGGATCCATAAGAAGGTTGTGAAGTGTCTGAAAGAAATAAGACCGCTGTGTAAAATGGTTTAAGAAGCTGCACAACTTCTTCTATAATTAGCCAATCGTTA